TTAACGATCAAAGGTTATGATGACCACAACGACTATCGATAAACGCGATATGCTGTATCAATATTTTAACGGTATCGTAATATTGCCCGGTATCTCGCAGTGGCTATTTCGGAAAAAAAGTGTCACATTCTAGAAGACAAGGAACGCTGCGCAACGGCAGTGCGTGTAAGAGTGAAATACCACAGCGATAAAATATAAGAGGGCGTTGTGGTGCGCGCTTTATCTTTAAACAAATGCCCGCCAGATATGGAAATGCAGACGTTTCTTTAAAATTATTTGTATTATTAATTGTACGTGTACCTATACCTAGTTGTTTTTTCACGACATGGCGAATGTCGAAGAGAATAATAGGAGGCGGAGAAAAACCACTAGGAAACAATTTGAGGACTTGTTATATTTTATTGAAAGTAATAACATAATCCTCCACGGAAAGACAAACCCGTTGGAGGCAAACAAATCAAACATTTGAGGAGCAGACTTGCAAAACGCGTTTTGTCCAAAATTGTAAATTTTCAGGAATGACAAAAAACTACTACGTACAATACGAGTTACTTACGGACTTGCGTTTGGTATTAAAAAATCTATTAAAAATAGCATGAGAAATTACTAAATTTGCAGACTGGAAAAAGCCAAAGTGGCTTTACTATTTCAAAAAAACTGTTGGACAAAATGCTATTTGCAGGTCACTAGTTGACAAACAGCATTTTGATTGTCCATCCAACAGATCACTGGGTATAATAAATTTGGAAATGAAACAAACATATTGTCGATAACGTTTACTTGTATTATTTACAAACTTTAAATGAAATTAACCTCTTCCATGTCGTTACATTCACATTCTTCATTTGCTTCTATTTCCCCATCTTCACGTTGTTCTTCAAAAATTGGAACTAACCATGCCAGTTCTGGATCATTGTTCCACTTTTCTCCAGATAATGATTCTAATAATTTTTTTAAACTGTCTATTTTTTTTTCTTTATCTGATGTCCCAAAGGTAGCCATGGCACGACTACCTGGTCGAATCGTGTGCGTGGTTTTAGTAAAGATTGGAATTTGTTTGTATCAGTGCGATAGAGTACTTCACTTTTCACTAAAATATTGTTGGCGGAAACATTCTTTTTAATAAAAAATCTTCGGCAAGAACTTATGCCATTCACTTTTTTGAGCCACTGCAGCATATTTTTTACATCAAGCAGATTCCAATCAGACCCAAGTTTTCGTACCTCGCCCACTTTAGTGTACAATTCCCAATATGCGTCTGGAGTTTTTATGAGACTGTGGGACCTTAATATTTTTTCGATGCGTCCAAAGATTCGATCGGCAGGAAGATAAGAGTGACCTCTGATCGGAAATATAATTTCTATTTCCTTTATTTTTTCGCCTGACGTATGGAGCCAAAACATCAAAGCATGTATGACGTGACTATTTTTGTTTTGCCCCCCACAGCCGTCGGCAAAAAAACGGATCTTCGTCGCATCTTCAGGAAATTCAGTTCTTTTTAAAAAATCAATAATGGCAGATGATGTCTCAGTAGCCCCCCTTCCTGCTTGGTGTTCCATCCACGTGTAAAATATTGGTTCTTGACAATTGAGTTTGGTAACGCAAAAAAAATATATTGACAGCTGTTGAGCGTAAAATGCCTCTTGAATAGGTACTTTTGGCAATACCTGAACTTGCTGTAAGTCGAAGCAGTACGAAACTGTATTAGGCACTTCAGTTTTCATTAACTTATGGAATTGTGTGGCACGAAATTTGTGTACCTACTTTCAGTTCAGTGGATATTTTCTGCTTTTCAGAAGAGCTTTGAGACATACTTATTTTGGTTTGTGTTCTTACACAATAGCTACAAACATCAGTAGCAGGACTGCCGAATCCAATATTGAAATATTTACTGAACACCCGACTTAAGTACTTGTAATTCACTTTTAAACCTTCTGGTGAGTTTTTGTTATATAACTGCCAAAGAATAGAAATGTTGTACTCCGAAGATATGTAGATCCGTCGAGACTTCTGTCTTCCATAGTGGCTCTCTTTTCCTTGTAATTGACTAATGAACGACTTTACAGCATCCAATTTGTCTACAAACTTAAAAGCTCGTCTATCGCCTCCTCTTTTTTCTTTTATAAATAATTTCCTCCCCAGCCTGGAGTTTCTTGCAAATTGTGTTTAGTCTCCTTTGACAAACGTTGTATACAGCCATTACAAACTTTTGACAAATTTGTACTTTTTGTCGACTGATATATAGGTACCTGTAAAAATTCGAATATAACACACCTACTAAGTGAAAAAAGCAGTAAAAGATCAACAAAAGCTCGAGAACTTTAATATTCTTTCCAACATAAAAAATGGTTGCACCAAATTGTTGATGAAACACGACGTATGTAAGACTCAAAACATGGAGTCTTTTATCAAAAACGACGTATGTACTTTTATACTTACATGATATTTTGCAGACAAGGAGTGCGGTTTTCCATCAGATTTGCGAGCTCTTTTTCGTTTAGGGATATCCAACTCAATGTTACTGGCTAATATTCCATCTTGAATAACTTTATTGGGATTTTTGTAAAAAACTTCCCGAAGTTTAAGTATATCATCTCGCCCTACTTGCCCACACTGCAGTTTTGGATTATTCTTATGATTACAAACTATATTAAATTGTTGTAAATCAGGATCATGGTTTTGAATATCTGACTTGCTTCTTTCTCTCCCTGGATGTTAAATTTGCTTGTCGTTTCCGGCTACCACGGTCACAATCACCAACAATATGCTCCCCATCTGCAGATTCCATTGTAATTGAAACGTTGCGAAAAAGATGCAAACTAAACACACAATACTGCAAAATAAACCGAAACGACACTAAGAGCAGTAACCTAACTGTTAGGTTATAAAAACAGCGTGTTTACGGCTGGACTGAATGCGTTTTGTTCGTCTCACGAACAAAATGCTATTTGTTTGTCTAATGTCGATGGACTAAATGCATTTTGCATGTCCAAGTGAATTTCACAACACATTTCAAGTGGGACATAATGCGATTTGGACATCCAATATTATATGAAACGATAGAGATTCAAGTGTATATTGCAACGCCACCTTCAGTTGAAAAATTTAAAATTTGGACAAACTGCGTTTTGCAAGTCTGCTCCTCATTTGTGGTAGGAGTTTGCCAGCGGAAATGGACCACCAAATACTGCCTTACAGATTCTCGAAAATTTGTTTGAAAATCAATTTCACCCAGCTGAAACGGATCGCTGTTGCCTCGTAAAATTCTTCGTTGGATGTTTTCCTCATGTCTCAATAAAAACATAATCTACGAGTATTAAAAGGCACAGAACTCACCTCCTTATTACATTTTCCAATTACCCAAACAAAGCTACTTGCAAAAATCCTTGAAAATGATTCATTTTCTTTCTCTTTAACACCCGCTTAAACTCCAAACGAATCGCTGACAGGACCGTTACGCCCCAAACGGGTAGCATGAACCCTGTCGTTAAGTTTTTCTGGTTATGGTTGCAAAATAACGATAGTCGTTATCCCACACTTGCTACGAGTGATACAGCATACCGATTTTTAAAAAATTATGGTAACGCCGCATAACGATATCGTTATTCTTAAGGATAGTGATACAGCATAGGACCGATTAATAGACTGTAGAAGTGTGACGTAACAATATGGCCGCCAATCAGCTGATGGGTAAACACACTGTTGTAGAATATCGTTAGGGGTACTTCGTGGATTTTCCGTGTATTTTTGATTATGTATTTCGAGAAAATGCCGTATTGTTTTTGCCCTAAATGTTCTCATATTTCTAGACGTGAAACATGCCGTTTTTATCGCTTCCCAGCTGATAATAAGCAATTTAATTTATGGAAGAAGATGTGTAGGTAAGTAACTGGAGTTTGCATTTGCAACGTTCTTTTTATTCTGTACCTATTTGAATACCCTATAGGTAAGCACAGTAACCCATAAGAAGCATGCAGTAAGTCAATTCATGAAATACAAGTTTCTCACAAATTGTACGATTAGTTTTTAATTGATGTAAATTTTAACAGAAGTACTCAAGAAGACCGACTTTGTAGCTGTGAGGCGACCTAAACGCATCTGATGCCATGTAGGATTTTCATTTTGGCCACATGTTGTAGCAGCCACCTGCACAATTTCTTTTTCTGTGACTTGGAAATTAGTAAATAGTCGTATTTCATCGATTTCTCCGTTAACTATTTTGGACAGTTCTAAAATCTTGGAAAACGATTTTACTTCTGTATGCAGAGTTTTCTGCTCCGGAGACAACAGCCAACAAAAACCAGAAAACCTAAAAGCATTTCATTTAAAAACTGGTTTCTTTAAGATTACAAAATCCTCACCGGTTTAATGATTTGAGTTGACAATAAAAGAATTCCTTATCTGCTGTATCTACATTTCGATTTGTCGAACGATGTTGAGGTTTCGGGAACAAATCCTTTACAGATACAACGTTTTCTGGTCCACTACTACTTGGAGCTTTCCATTGGCACATTTTGTCAGTTTTACTAAAGTTTTTGTGGGAGTACAGTAAAATTGCTGCAATGTGATGGCATTTAAATTGTCCTCTTGCACATTGACAATTAATATTTTCGATCTGTATGCTCCCATCACGATCTAAATTTATCTGAAAAAAGTTTATTTCTTAGTTCGATTATATGAATAAACTTAAGAATAAAACATGATCATCAAACTCACTTACTTCCACCTGATATGATCTCTTTTTCATACTTGCTAACACTTTCCCACGAATTACATTTAAAGTTCCATCAATCAAACACAACTTCCATTACATGCCTACTATCTACACAATTTTCGCCTTTCTTTACTACACTAATTTCATCCGCAAAAAGCTCTAAAATTGTAGATAACGTCACTAATGCCATGGTTCTGTATTAACAAAACGTAAATAATTAATTGTTGCTACCCATCAGCTGATCCGCAGCCATATTGTGACGTCACACTTCTGCAGTCTATTCTAAATAATCGTGAGACATCTGGTGGCGGCAAGTTAAATCATTACATTTGGGAGAGCCATTGAACTATAACCATAATGGAATGCGTACGCAAGTGTAATTCTTAACTAAAATTTGGTCGACTGGGTTAGAAAAGGCACGCTGTTGAGAAGTGGGATGCTATCTTTGTCACTTGCTGTTGTTTACGTTATGCATGCAAGTTGTACGTCTTTATAATTTGCCTGTTTTCTGGTGTTTTCTCTTCATTGGAATTTAAAATGGTTAAACATTGCTGTGCCTATGGTTGCAGCAATGAATGGAATCCAAATTTGAATATTCCATTCCATACGTAAGTACATTTACTATTTTAGGTTATGTTAAGCGAATCTTTTATACGAAAAGGTGAAGTTTCTAAAAGAGGATCCTAGTTGTATCTTAAATAATTTACTTACAATTAACCCTTGGCATGCCGCTTTAACCAAATCAATTTTTAATTTACAGATTTCCTCTAAAACGGCCTGAGATATTACGATTATGGGTTCAAGCAGTTCGGTTAGTAGGGTTTAAACCAACTGCAACAACTGTAATTTGTGGAAAACATTTTACCCCAGATTCATACCTGGAATCCGCATTAAATAAAAATTTGTTAAAAAAAGATGCAGTCCCTTCGATTTTTAACTTCCCAAGACATTTGCTGAAAACCATGACAGCGAGAAGAGAAATTATTCGACACGTCAAAACTTCTCCTTTGAAAGTAATAATTGAAACATTAAGACTGTAGATCATTAAGTTTTCGCTTTTAGGTAAATAAGGATTGCAGTAGTGACTGCACTATGGACGTTGACGAATTCCTTAGTACAAATGACAAAAATACGCAAACATCTCCCAGAAAATTAAAGAGATCCCTAGTAGAACAGCGAATGTCTCGCAAAATAAAAATTTTGCAACAGAGGCTAAGAAGACGGGAGAGTAGCATTAAAAATATGAAAGATTTAATTAATCTCTTACGAAGCAACAAGAACTCTGATGGAGATTTGGAAGACACCCTTTCGAGAAACTTCAGCAATTTTGCATTGGAATTGTTCAAATGTGAAGCTGGTAACAAAAAAGTGGCCCCTACACAACGTAGATATACCGAAGAAATGAAAGCATTTGCTTTAACTCTTTATTTCTATTCTCCTAAAGCGTATCAATTTGTTAGGAGCAAAATTTTTTTACCTCATTGTTCAGTAATGAGAAAGTGGCTGTCTTCTCGAAATTGTGAAGTCGGTTTATTATCAGAAGTTTTTGAATTTTTGGCTAGAGAAGCCCAGCATAAACAAGAGTTAAAAAATGTAGCATTAATATTTGATGCAATGTCAATACATACAGAGTTAGTATATGATAAGAAAAATGATAAATACTGTGGGTACGTGGATTACGGTGGTATTGCAAATGTAGATACTGAAGAGATGGCCACAGAAGTTTTAGTTTTACAAATAGTTACATACACTTATAAATTTAAATGTCCAATAGCATATTTTCTTATTGATAAGGTAAAGGCAAACTTGCAGAGTCAATTTTTATTAATGGCAATTAAAAAATTATTCGAAATTGGTATAACAGTACGATCAATTACTTGTGATGGATGTGTTGCGAATATCAAAACTTTGCAATTATTGGGGTGCAATGTATCTCCTAATAACATTTCTCCTTTCTTTAAGCATCCAAATACTCAAACGAACATTCACTGCATAATGGATCCTGCTCATATGTTGAAGCTATGCCGTAATACTTTTGGTCAAATAAATGGTATAACATCAGATGCAGGTGAAATATCCTTCAAATATGTTTGTAAACTACATGAATTGCAAGAACGGGAAGATTTAAAGCTTAAAAATCGACTGTCAGCTTCACACGTTAATTTCGTAAATAAAAAAATGAATGTTCGTCTAGCTGCGCAAACTATTAGTAACAGTGTTGCTAACGCAATCGATTTTTTAAGAATGAATGGGAATGCTGATTTTAATGGAAGTGAAGCTACCACTCAATTTATAAGGTATTTTGATAAAATTTTTGATTTAATGAATTCAAGAAATCCTTATGGGAAGAATTGGAAATCTCCATTACGTATGCAGAATAAACATTACTGGCAGTCAATATTTTCTGAAACCAAAAGTTACATAAATCAGTTAAAAATCAATGGTTGTAACATTTTACAGCATCCAAGAAAAACGTTTGCTCTAGGGTTTTTAATTAACATTAATAGCTTTGAAAACTTGGCTTTGGACCTTTTATGTAATGTAGAAAATCCTCTTAGCTATTTTATGACTTACAAGTGTAGTCAAGATCACATAGAATTATTTTTTTCATGCATTAGATCACGAGGTGGTTGGAATGACAATCCAAATGCGCTTCAGTTTAAATGGGCATTGCGGAGATTACTGTTTCGAAATAGTGTTAGTGCTAGTGTAAATGCAAATTGCATTAATGATGATATAACATGTACACCAGTTTTTCAACTTAAAGAGATAAATGTAGTAAAATGTTTCACCAAAGATCACATCGAAGAATCTGAAGCTGAAAAATTACAAAATTTAATTAACTCTCTCGATGAAATTACACTTTCCTCATTTCAAGAGAATGTTTTGTCATACATAGCTGGATCCATATTAAAAAAAATGTTGCCAAACGTTGATTGTCCTCACTGTTATAAAGTCTTAATAAGAAGTCCTATTTTTAATGAACATGAATATGCCAACTTAAAACATAAGCATTATCAGTTTATAAAGTTCATCTCGAATGGTAAGCTACTGATACCTTCTGATGCAGTTTTTGATATTGTACAATTTACAGAAAGAGTATTTCGTTCATATGTTAATTGCGGATATTCTTTAAAAGAAAATCTTAAGCAAAATATTGTAGTTGCTGTTTCACAACATTTTACCCCAAAAATAAATACTTTATTTCAACCACCACATCCTATTACTGATATTTGTGATGATTTGCATGAAATACAAATAATTAAATACATCGCAACAACTTTTGCAACTATACGCATTCAAACTTATGCAAAAAAGAAAACGTTACGGATTTTAGGAGATCCTATTTTATCATGTTTAGGTTAATTTAGTTTTTTAATGTACTATCATAGTTGTAATTGTATCGTATGTATACAAAAGAATGTAAAATAAATTTGATTTGATTTGTCTTTGATTTATAATCAATGTTAAAAATGCAGAAATCGTACTTCATCTTTTCCTCTTTATTTTGTATAGAGTCACAAGCTGCTCGATTCCCATCGAATTGGAAACTTAGGTTTATATGCATATGTTACGGCTAATGTGGCTGATCTGGTCATTATCAATAATTAAGCGAAGGCACATTATTTGAAAGGGCCCCGTTAGCTTCGGGGATGGAAAACTACTGCCACTTAAATGAAAGTGAGGAGATATTTAATTTTTAAAGAAATCTTTCCGGGGCTGTTCATAAAATGTCCCTTCCCCTAATTATTAACATTGACCGGATTAACCACATTCCCCGTAACACATATAATCCTAGTAAATAGTTTAGAAAAAATTAACTAATTTCAATTGCGCTTTTACAGTTGTAAATTTATAATAGAAAATAAAAATTGTCACAAAACTGAATGAATAATGCAACAGACAAGGATAGATATCCACTTCAGAGCAGCGGTGTTACTCTAACCTTAAAGACCGTTTCTAGAATATTACGTGCGCATTCCAGTTATGGTTATAGTTCAATGGGGAGAGCAACTCCATTTTGGTTATTTGTTTACATTGTTTTCAGCTGTTTACAATGGCAAAAAGCAATCAATATTGTAGTGTGCACGGTTGTAAAAGTAAATACGCATTAAATTCAGGTATAAGTCTTCATAGGTTTCCTCCTAGTGGTAAATATAAAGTGCACATTGTAACAAAACTGGGAATTCAAGAAGAAGTAGATTTACAAAAGCCATGGAAAATTAAACTTAAAATTGATAAACCAATTACTCCTAATTTGAAGGTGTGCTCGAAACATTTTTCAGATGATTTCTTTTTCTTATTTGGTAAGTTATTTTGTGTTCTCTCCTCCTAACTAAGGTGTTAACCAGTGGCGTCGGAAGACAGAATTCCAGGGAGGGGCAACGTCATCAAAATAAGGAAATTAATAAAAATGATTTTATTTATACATTTATTCGTAGGGTATCGGTATACACTGCAGCCTATGCATATTTATCAGAGAAGGCAAACATCAAATTCCTTGGAGTTTGAGCAAATATATCCAAGACACTTTGACAAAATTGATCAATATCAACTTTCACCTTCTCTCGATGGACGCTTAACATACATAATCCGTCAAGTCGTTGTGTAGTCATTGTCGACCTTAGCCACGTCTTCACTCTCCTTAACGTACTAAAACTTCTCTCGACAGTACACGTTGTAGGTGGAAGGGTCATAAAAATAATGATCCCTTTAGCTACAGCGGGAAAAAATTCAGTTTCCGCCAAAGCGTCATGCAGTGTCATATCTGCAGGAATTGTCTTGCTCTTCCAATAATGTAGCCACGTATCAGTCTCTTCGCAATGGTTTTCTATTCCGTAAAATTGTTCAGCAGATTTCAGCTGAGCCATAAGGTGTGATTGTTCGGTGCTTGTAACAAATTTTGGATGTAGTAAACTCAAAGCAAACGCTGGTGTGTTGGTCTCCTCGAATAGGCTCGTTATTGAAGAAATAATAGAGTCCAAATATGGTACGTAAAGGATCTTACGAAAGTATTCTTCCGGAGCGTTTGTACCTAATGCCGGGTTCGATCTATGTTTCTGTCGCTGAACAATGCGCGGCATTTCCATTTGTTTGCCGATTTTATTTCCTATTTCCGTAGCTTCCTGATAAATGTTTGCAAAGTAGGTTTCATGATCACTTCTGTGTTTTTTAAGGGTTTCTTCAATAATACCTATGTGGTTTTTTACATCTAAGAGATTGATGTTGATGCCTTGAAGGGTATTAACCACAGGTTCTAGTTTAGAACTGTATTTTGCTATTATGACCATAGCAACAATAAAATTGGACTGACAAGCCGCCAGATATAGTTGGTGAGCTTTTGAGCGTGTAGCTGCATTATATTCTGCATTTGTAGCAAGATCTTCAAGGGCATGAATTATGTTGATAAAGTTCTCGTAGAAGATTCGGATAGATTTATATTTTGCGGACCACCTAGTTTCACACAACAGAGGCAAATTTGCGACTAATCTTCTTCGTAAAACACTTTCTCGAAAAAATTTCACGATTTCCTTTATGCTGGAACAACAGTTTTGAATTTCCCGAACCGCACATAAGTCATTAATAACCAAATTTAGTCGATGTGACGCACAATGGAAAAAGTTTGCTTTAGGGTGTTTCATTTTAATTCTTTGCTGTACACCTGTTTCTTTTCCAGCCATGGTTGCACATCCATCAAAACCAAGCCCTACAAGTTTGTCCATGTCCAATCCACAATCAGCAAGTACCTTTAAAATTGCATGACTAATTGCGTCAGCATCAAGTTTTTCTAGTTGTTGGAATCCTAAAAATTCTTCTTTAATGTTGTAGTTTGAGTCGACGTACCTAATGCCGATTGACAACTGCTCTTTTCCTGATATGTCAGCCGTTTCGTCGGCCAAAATAGAAAAACCATAACCTTTATTAACTTCATCGACCATTTGTTTTCGTAGTACTTGACCACAGATGCCTATTAGTTCATTTTGGACTTGAACCGACGTATACTTTGCATTACCGGGGCAGTATTCTAAATGTTGTTGCAGTACACGATCTCCTGCATGTATTCTGAATTTCAGCAAGTCTACAAAATTTCCACTGCTCGATTCTTTTCCACGAAGAGCAAGATCATGCGTCCCACAAAATACGATTGTAGAAATTATGGGTAAGAGTTTTTCTCGATTATCTTTAACCTGTTTTGCCATTGAGCTGTCAATTTGCTGTACGATGTCCATTTGCGTTCCATATTTTACAGATTTGAAATTGGCTGCCATTACACTCGATTCTTTGTGCCACTGTGATGATACATGATTTCGCGCACATTCGTGCATGTCTTTGAATTAACGAAAAGGCGAAACGACGAATGCACCCATAACACCTCTTTTTAATGAAGGCTTAAACAGAACGCATGTTTTGCAAAGAGCTCCTTTCAAATATGGAGAGTAAACCAGCCAGGGGTATTTGTCTAACCACTCCGCTTTGAATATTCGCTTACATCCCACACTATCAGCGTCCAACTTAAAATTATAGTTTTTACTTGGTATAAAGCAATCGACCAATAACTTTAATTTGAATTTGACATCATCTTTAACTCCTGTCTTATCGTTATCCTTATCTACGTACAATCCTAAATCTAACTCGCTGGTAACAGACGAAGACTGAGGAGATACTTCGGATGCTGCACTAGGAGTTGAACGAGAAAGCTCACCTGGGTCATTAGAGATAGTTTGTACAGCATGAACGGGAGTTTCGTGCACGATAGAGGAGTTTGAATTTTCATTTGTTGACTGCAGTCTTGGCCTTTTGAAATAACTGCGGATATCCATGGCACGGGGCACCGCTGAATAGTGAATACTGAACGCAGAACGCTGAACGCACAACTCAGTTTAACACTAATCTAATGCCTACTAAGCGTAATGTTGAAAATATAACCGACGCGACGCCGACGTACAATGAAAATGTACAGTAAATATTGAATTTAGGCAGTTTCACACACACAAAGTTTGAGCCAAGATTTTCGGCATTAGTAGTAGTATGTAGTACTAAAACAAAACGCTAGAATTGTAAAACTGAAGGGCGTGCACTCGTGAGTCACGAGTGACTCATGCAGTGTTGACTGTTGTCTTAGGAAGTGGGGAATTTTTGCACATAAAATGCTTTATTTTAAAAAAATATCGCACATCGTAAATTACATTTATCTAGGTTATGTTATAGGTATTATAACAAAGAAATTAGAAACTTCTTTATTTTGAATGTTACGCTTACGAATTACGAAACGAAAAGATACAAAGAGTGCCGGTGCCGACTGCCGTGGCAGGGCGCGGGCACTTTAGATATACGATTATAAGAACACGTGCGTTGCGCTGGCCGCTGTTTACATTTTGTTAACTGTATGACTCACGGGCGGCCGGGCCGGGCGCAATTCGTTTGTTTTGCTTCCATTAAATCTGTATCTAATTTTTGTTTTTCCTGTTTTCCATAAAAATTATATGGGCTATGATGTGGCATGTGCATAATGTAGATAATTAAGATTATGATTCAATTACCCATTAGCGTATTTTTTTCAGTTGTACTTGTACCGAATTCCGTAGAATTGTCTTATTGTACTAGCTTTTCTAGCTCTTGCACTGCGGGTCCGGGTTGTCTTCCAGGGGGGGGGGGCCGTTGCCCCTCCCTGCCCCTACCGTCCGACGCCGATGGTGTTAACAGTAGTTAAATTATGTAGTTTTTAATTAAAGTCGCTGATTTTACTGACTGTTACTACTTAACTTATGTATATTGATATACATTTTAGGTGTACCAACAAAAAGAAAGCGTTTAAAACGAAATGCAATCCCTACGAAAAATTTGCCAGCTTTGAAAGTGAGAGGATCAATTGCTCCTCCAAAAGTAAAAGTTAGATCTGAAAGGTTAAACAAAATAGTCTGCAGAGATCGTACAAGACATCCTATCTGTTATGTTATAAATCCTACCGAAATCTCAACTTCACCGCTTATTGAAATGGATACACATGGTGACCCTGTGAACTTACAATTCAACACGAAAGATAGCAGTGTTCAAGTATCAAGTGGGGATATTATGACAAAGTTTATTGCTTGTATCGATACTGTCAAGAAGCTAAATACTTTAACGGGTTTACCATCATTTGAACATTTAAATTTATTGTGTAGTGAACTTAGTAGTATAAACATTTCAAAAAGAAGTCGCAAATTATGTCTACGGGAAAGAGTAATCCTAACTTTAATAAAATTAAAACAAAATTTGTCATTATCAGTTTTAAGTGTCCTATTTGGGTGTGTTACAATTCAGACATGCAAAATAATTTTTCAGGAAACTGTGATTTGTTTAGCAGAATTATTAAAGTGTGCAATACCATGGCCTTCAAAAGACGAAATTTTGAACAATATGCCATTATGTTTCAATAATTTTAAGCATGTTCGTGTAGTCTTAGATTGTACAGAAATTCCAATACAAAAACCAAAATGTTTGAAATGTCGATTAAAATTATATTCCCACTACAAGTCGGGACTTACATTAAAATTTATGACTGGGGTAACCCCGGCAGGCTTAATCTCATATATAAGTCCTGCTTTTGGGGGCAAAGCCTCAGACAAAGCTATATTTGTGCAGAGTGGATTACTAGACAAACTTGAAAAAAATGACGCCATTATGGTGGACAAAGGTTTTTTAATTGACCAAGAATGTTTTGCTAAAGGAATTACTATTGTTCGACCATCATTTCTAACTAATAAGGTGCAGTTTTGTAAAAAAGAAGCATTGTTAAATAGAGAAATTGCCGCTGCTAGAGTTCACATTGAACGATCAAATCAACGGATAAAAATGTTTAAATTTTTTAATAGCAGATTTGAGTGATCGTTAATAAATATTGTTAATGAGTGTTTTTCGGTTGTTTGTGGCATAACAAATTTATGTTCACCCATCCTTGGAGATGATAAATTTTAGTACAATATTACTATTATATGTTAAACTCAAATAAATGAAATACCTCGAGATTCTTTATTTTATCACACGTTACCTACCTGTATAAATACGGCAACAGCAGGCTTTCAAGAAACTAAATATCTCTAACTTTACAGGATTATAACATATGCACATTATGTATTGTACAAATCACCAAAGTGATACCAATTTATTTTTCTTACTCAATTTACATTAACTACAATTTAATTCAACCAAACAGGATATCAATCGACCAAAGAACAAAGTTTATGTAAAATATTGTGAAAATATTTGTATTTCAAAATTGGAAGCATAAGGCGACAAAAATCTAAATCTAACTTTATAGTTTTCAATATACATTGAATTATCCTTGCTAGAAAAAATGATAAAGTCTGTTTCACTAATATTTAAAATTGCCATTCCTAAATTAATTTGTCCATAATATTGATGTTTTCTCTTTGATTGAAATTTACGATTGTCCAATTTCTGCAGATACGAACAAGTTGGCAACAATTCAGTAACACCTAAATTACGACCTTGCCATGGACACTTAATTTCAATTAATTTAACCGGAATATGGTTTTCAATTATTACTCCATCGGGAGAGTATCCTAACCAGGGATTATTGTCCGACACAATGAGTCCACATTCCACCACTTTAACGTTTTGGATTGTTTCATACATTTGCCGTGCAATTGTATCAAATTGTATGCCATGAGTAATAAATTTATTACCAAATGGCTTTGGGAAAAACAAGCTCTTTACTTTGGCAGTCCAATTGGCACCTCTGTACGTATATAACGAATAGCACCTGCTTCCAGTAACTCGAAACCGTCTTTGATAATGCCATTTCTGTTTATCGTTGACAGTTTCATCACATACACTTACACTATTTAGAATTACCACATTCTCAATATAAAACTTTCTGCAGCATGGTAATATATCTTCAACATATGCTAAATTAATTTCCTCCATTAAGACACCATTTTGCATATTCTTGCATATGGAACGAATATGTACCCCTTCCTCAGATAGGGGAGTTTCTACAAATTCCATTACAATATTACTGGAGATATCATCTTGATGACGAACCACACCACGGCTATGTTTGGCTAATGCTGAATCTGGTAAAACCAGTTGAAATGATGCAAACATCGCTTTGGAGTCTATTTCAATGCTGTTCTTGAGATGCCGATTATATTGGGACAGGCTTGTAACAACAGAAAGTAGTGATTGGCTCGGCTTTTTTATATTGTTGTAGATTTTCATCTTTTAATGTTGTCCAATGGCACTTTTTATCGGTGGTTGAAATTTTTTCCAACGCAATGATATCATTCCTAAAAGAATTATAATAGAGTAAAAAATGAATGAAAAAAATTTGTACAGCAATCACAAAATTAAGTTTACACCTAGCAGCTTTTTTAGACAATAATGTATAGTTACCGGTTACAATAAAGAACAGCTAATATGTGCTTGCAACATTCCGATGCTCCTGCTTTACACGTACATGTTGTAATATCGTATCAATAAAAGGTCGATCATTACTTTTATACATGTAATCAACAGAAATATTTCTGAACCCGCTTTTTACAGGCCAACATCATGTTACACAACAACCCAGTAAAATACGTAAGTACAAGTTACAACACACAAAAATCCTTAAGGCGCGTTTACCTAAACACATAAGTAAAACCTAACTCTACGACACTACAATACCTCCCCTCATAAATTCAAACGCTGGGGCGCTCTAATGCTACGTTTTGGTCTTTGATTAACGTTCAGATTTACCGATGCTTTTTTTACATTCGGTGTACATTGAGGTGTGCTTATATTTACTCTACTATTACCGAGACTATTACTCATAGGAATAGATTTACAATCTAAATTTTCATTTAACTCCGATTCTTCCTGAACCACTTCATCATTATTTTTATCATCTGATCCTAAACCATTATATTTACTTAAACCCTTATTTGGTTCAGCAAAATCTGAAGCTATTGGTATACTACTCGGAACATTTAATAACTTCTCCTCTGCCCTATCATCCAAGACATTAGACCTATTACATTGAATTTGGTTTAAATGCCTTTTCCAGATTACATTTTCATGAACAAGTTTACAAAAATAAACCCTGTCACTTAAAACCTCATCAATGATACATTCCACCCAAGTTTTCCTACTAGGGTGTCTGTAATCTCTACACCAAACTCTATCCCCCTCCTTAAAAGTCTCTTCACGTTTTCCTTTACAATTTAAAATTTGTTTTTCAGCTTTTTCCGCTGTCTGAACTCCCTTCAATGACAGTAAATCTAACCGTGTACGAATTTTTGTTTTGAACAACAAACTACTAGGTGACATACCAGTTGTCGCA